AAGTCAAAGTGTAATTCAAGTTGAAAAAAAACGAGAACACACAAAAAATTAAAGTTTGTAAAAATACAGGTCGAAAATTTATAAATACTTTTTTTATGCGAACGTTTTAAACGCAAATGGGCTAAAATTTCAAGATGACTGCAAAGGTTAAACCGGTTTTTCAACTTGAATTAAGCCAAGGCCTAGTTCTCAGCTCGCAGACTGAGGAAACATTGAAGAATGTTTAAAAAACCACAATGTAAGACATCATGGAAAAATCGCGAGAAATAACATTGAATTTGGCTTACCACAATTCGTATCTCCGATGCAATAGACGTCCGCTACGATTGTCATAATGAGTTTTTATGTGGTACACTAATATATTGAATATTCGTTCTGCAATTACATAATAGGAAAGGGAGAATAAAAAATTATATTTTATATAACACCAGTGTATGATAAATGGAACTGTACAGCAAAATAGGCTATTACTCCTGACAATAATGTTGCACAGAAGCAAGACATTAAATATCTCAGAAATATTTGGGCTAAAGACCCCGGAATACCACTAAACAATAGCAGTTGAAATGATTATTTGAATAGTATATTCCAACCAGCATATAGTTATAACCTGCATTTTTTTATAAGTAAAAACAATAATCAAAATAATACGTTGCTTTGTTATCTCAAATTACTCACCCATAGCAAGATATATTTTAGAAATTCCATATCTTTCATCTTTTTTGGTACTCTGTTGTCTTCGAAATGTCCCAATTTTACATGTTGTCAATCTGTTGTAATTTTAAGTAATTCTTGGGCTAGGATGTGCAAAAGAATCGAAGAAATAGCATTTCATAAGTGCTAAGCGATAATCGTTGGTAAGCACGTGCTTAAGACAAGCTCGAATCGGAACTAGGTCAGAATTTCGGCTTTTTGCCCGAATTTGTTTTCCATATTTTTATTATTGTGAAATATTATTGCCGGTGATGCGATAATTCATATCATCCGGTATGTTTATATAAAAAATCGGCAAAAATCTTCTAAAGGCTCGATTTTGACGCTATATATATAAAATAGTACTGTATATTTGAACTAAACCACTGCAACCGGTTTTCGTTTACATTTTTGGCCAATATCCTAAGGATTAGGCCGCTTTGATGTGTAATATTGAATATATAAAACGCGTGAATATCATACCTGTGAATAGCTATGTATGCATGGCGGTAAAACGCCATATTTCGACTGGAATTTGCAATATTTAGCCTTGAAATTTACTACATTTGCGATTTTGTCAGTTTGTTATATATACTATTATTCCAGGCCATGCCCAATTCGACAATATTCTGAAAGGTTCCGTGATTAAATGTACCACATAATTCAAATGCTACAACAGTTTGAAAGATTTACTTGCCTTTTAAATTCCGACTTTCCTGCTCGATGGGGTTCTAAAGCTGGTGGGGAAATAAAGCCTTTTAATAATGATTGAACTGTATTTTTTTGTGAACTTCATGAGAGAAATAATCGAACAAATACACACATACTGTGATACATTGGCTTGGAATATGCTCCAAAACGTGTGAAATCGAACATTTGTTGTGCAATCACCTTGCAAATATCAAAGAAACGGGATCAAAATTTGAATATAGATTAACCAATCTGATTGGTTTTTATTGAACCAATCATGGAGTACAAAAATTGACCAATGACAAATTGACCTGTGCACAGAAATAACCAATCAAGTTGTCTTAATTTTGCTGAATTATGCAAGAGCCTACAGGCTTTAAAACAGGGCCGTCTGGGACCGTTTTCTTCAGGTAAGTTAGTTCTTTCTTTAGGTAGGATCAAGGTATGTGTAATTATTTTTTTAATAGAAGTAGATCCCCGTGGCCACTCTGTTAGCTAAGAATCTCTGTCCCCGTATCTGGAAACACGGCTCACTGCTTGTCTAACTGTGTTTTGCTCTTCGTTTTCTAGGGAGCTACTAATAATTTTTTTTGTGTTTTTCAGACAAAGACGATCGTAGTTTAGTTTCAGTATCCAACCCTAAGAAGCCACCCCATATCCATGCCGTCAGTTAAACCCCTAGCCGCAATTGCCTTCAGCTAATTGTAAATGCTTCCTTTTCTAGGAACAACTCACCATATTTTTTGTCGTTTCAGCTACAGAGTTAGTGGGTTGTGGGTTGTTGGATGTTGTGTCGTCGGTTGTGTGTTTTGTGTTGTACGTTCGTATTGTCTGCCAGTCGGTTTGCGAGTTGCCCTGTAGCTCTCGCTTTTTCCTGGCCACACAAAGAACACATTTCGGATACTCCTTTTTAGGAGATTGGGTTCGAGTCCCATGAATGTGTCAATTTTGCGCTGATATCTAATGTGGTCAGTCTCTAATACATAAGCACAATCCAACGGACAATCTGCATCCTTTCACCAAACCAAATACAAGTGTTGTTCTCATACAACAGAATGGAACTTCCAACAGAGTAAGGAGTAAACAATACCCAAGAAAAAGTTCTCATAACTTCTCAAACAGGACAGGATGCGGCACTTGTTAATGAAGTATTCTCGATGTTTAAGGGACCCTCTCAGTTAGACGTCCGATCAGAGGATATTTCAAAGTGGTAAGCTGATTTAAGCATGTGATTACTGTGCGAATACTCAACCCATTTTAATAAATATGAGACCACTAAACTCATTGCTGTCTGCTCGTAAAGCGCGCACACAGATAATGTTGATTTTATCTGGAAGTATTTTATAAAATCAACTAGAAATTGTGTTATCTCAAAGAAAAAACATTTACCTATTTGTATAAATTTAGTTCATTTCAAAAGCTTTCCTATAAGGCAAGAAATTTATTGCCGAACTATTACTTTTTAAATTGAATTTTAGAGAAGCGAAAATACGGAAAGCCTTCCAAAAATCTCGCCTAAAAACCTCCAAATATTTCTAGTATACATTGGCACCAATATTTTCATCTATTTTACTTGAAATACAGTCGCTTTGGTGATTTGTAGTGATATTTCCAACAAACGTGTTTACAAATGGAAACTGGAAATGTGCATATAATTATCACCATATTGGCGAAAATTTTACAATTATGACTTCTAGGGACAATTTTACTTCGGAAATCGATTACCGGGCTTATTTTACTCCAACGGGGTAGGCAACCTTACGTTTTTGACACCTTTAACCTCATGTGACAACCACATGTGCGTGCCGCTGAGCAACGCCTCGCTATACACAATAACAAATAAAAAAAGCTATATTTTTCGAGTTTTTCTGCCCATCCTGACTTAAAAACTATCAGAAAAGATAGCTAAAGCCTTTACAGTTTACATGTAACGGTTAAAAGACGACAGGATAAAAATAAAAAAGAAAATAACGAAATTCCAAAGGCGAGTTATATTTTCGTTTTGTAATCCAGTATAATTTGATATAATTTTTAGAGCTGCACTGCAGTGTCAGGTTAACAGCAATATTGATTAATTTCTGGATTAAAACAGAAGCGATTGGGTTAAAGTATTTTTCTTCAGCTATATTTTGGTGGTATTTTTGTGCTTTCTAAATTAGACGTATTAATTTAAACATTAAAAAACCGAGATAATTTCATGATATCTGGTGATGGAAGGCATGACAAGAATTATGCCTACACAATATTTTGCTGTACAGTTCCATATGTCATTCATTTTACACTGATGTTATTAAAAATAGATTTATTTTTCTCTCTTTCCTATTATGTAATTGCCATTTACCAATATACAGGGGTTGGGGGTATTATGTGAATATGAAAGAAAACAGCCTGCATTTTGTTCTGTATATTCTTTTTGTTATAGAAGTCACAAAATACATGCTGTTACTACACAGTATAGGGCCTTGTGATTCATATACAATTATAGTTTCAATTGTGTGAAAGTGATGTTCTTGTAATCTCAATTGTAGATTCTATTGCATATAGAGCGAATTGATATGGCAACATATCTTTGAGAATTGAAGTTTATGGCGGTTCTTCAGGTATGTTCTAGCAATTCACTGAAGTACTATTTGTTCGCTAAGGTATGTTGTCCCATGGTAGCGGTACGCACGAACCTGGAATATCACAATGCTGATAGCCTCACAACTATGGACAATAATATATTAATTTACTTGTTCCTTGTTTCTCAATTTTAGATCAAATAAATTATGGCAACCCAAGAGTCGCTAACAATTATTACCTTTATCTATTCACTGACTACACCTCCATCCATTGCTGTGCCATACATGGATTTGATTGACTGACATACCAAGCAAGGTAAATATTGCAGGCTACATGGTATATGTTCAGTTTATTATTATGTCATATTAAGACTGTTGGACATTATTTTTTTATTCAGTAATTCCCCTATATGGGAATGTGATAAAATTCGAAGTTAACCCCTAGTAAAGATTTCACAAAATCAATTGAAATAACGTTGTACTTCGACTGGTTTCAATTCTGGAGGCCCCATATATGGCACAATTATCTGCATTATCGTTTCATTTTTGTTGATGATTGTTTCGATGGTGTTTTGGTGCCGGAAGATAGAATAATTGATACTAATTATTGCCCCCCGTACTGAAGACACATAACATCCCAGATAATAGCAAAAGTTGTTCGGAATGCGGATAAGTCGACAGGACATGGTCGCTTAAATGAGGCAGCTTCTTGATCTGCACGGAAAAATTACCAGGACCAATGCATTCAAATTGACTTTGGCATAAAAGATGTTGTCGGAGCGATTTCACTCAAAGTCGCCGTATTTATAATTAGTGGGTGAAGAGCTACTCTATATCCTATAGTTCCGACGGGCAAAAATTCGCTCATTACAAAATAAATGGATTAGTCAGGGTTAGCTGGATTAATAAGCAAGGCTCCTACAGATTACCCTCTCACGTTATATGCATCACATCATTTCCATGTGAAAACGTTCGCAGAATGCGCTCTGCTTTCGTAAAACGAAATCACGGACAAAACTCTGAATTGAGATTAAGTTCAATACACAACCGACACAAACCTTTATAAGCGTTTCGTCATCCGAGGAACACAGTAAAACATTTTGTTGCTAGAGATGAAAAAGTTAAATTATGGTCGTTAAAGTTTAGGATATAAAGAGAGTAGTTATAAATAAATAAGCACGCGCTTACCTTCGAATCCCTGTTGGTGATGCCATTTTCATGTAAGGGCTAAAAATACGAAACAGTATGAATAAAGTTAGTTAAGTTCAGGCTCCTGTAGTAAAACTGGATCAATAACAGATGATCCTTAGCTTGGTGTCATTAAAAGCGCCAATCTCTTCCTGACATTTTCCATAAACTTTAGTCTTCGCGTGTGAATAAAATATTCCAACTTGTTTCATTCATTCTTCGAAGACTACACATGGCTAGACTCGCGCTAAACGACATCCTCACCGGAAAGCACATTGCTTTCATAGTTGGTTTAGTTGTCAATCGCAGTCTGTAGTACAGATCGTTAAACAACTCGAGCCTGAAAACAAAATAGAAAATTCGATCGAATCATGAATTGTTTCATCCATGATTCTATACTTCTCTACTACATACTGCAGGACTAATAACATTGTGTGAACTGTGCAGCAATATAGAGAATAAGACGCTGAGGTATATTATATATTAGGTATCTGGAATCGTTTTTATGACGCGGGAAGCAAGACAGTAGTTTGAATATTTGCAAATCCTGATAGATAAATGTCGTGGACTCACACATTTGTTATCGGCGTCTCCCCGTCGTTTTGTTCCAACAAGACTCTCAAATAATAGTCGCCTGATAGGAGAGATACGTTACTGAGTTTGATTGCGATCGAGGGATAGGGGGGGCGCTTTAAGAAGAACTGTTAAAAAGCTAGAGCAGTATAAGGCTTATCACTAACCTATTTTCAGTTGATCAGCTAAACATTCATGCAGGACTTCAAACTAAAGGTGATTCCAAAAAACAACGTAGTTTCCACTCAGGTCTTTTTCCATTGCAAATTTGCGCATCTCAGATTCGAGAGCCCCAGAAGTTCCTCTCGCGTCTGTCACATTGAAAACAAAAGAAATTTTTTCATACTCTTTTACGACAACAGTTTAGAGAAAGAGGTCAGGACTATTGAATTGTCTTGTTATACTCATAGCGACAGGAAATTCTCCATTACCTTTTCATTTCCTATATTTTCAATGGAAACTAACTTTAACTTCGAGACTCACCTTGTAATTCCAAATCAGGTTGTACGCTGTCAGATCTTGACTGAATCTGTAAAAAAGATCCGTTTAAATACCATTGCTTTTTCTTCTTTCAAACGACTAGAACATTTCCCATTTTCTTAATATGAACACTTACTTGTAATAAAACAACTGGATTTAAATTCTCACATCTTTCCTGGCTTTGAATCCTATTTTTGTCCTCCAATGCGAGAGATACCCTTCAAGTTGATTCCTTGACGTTCCACTCGCTTTTCCTGAGCTGTAACAGACAAGTATAGCGCGTGAAATAACAGGCTTATACGTACATACAAGCATGCATCATGAAATTTTGGAACACGATTGTTCCTTTAAAACGTACTCTGCAAGCTTTACATTGTCACGAATTGATAAATGATCTTCTTTAGTCTCCGGTGGCTGAAGGAAAGATAAAAACTTTCCAACAAAATTGCTTCTTTACAAAAAGGTTTTACACTTCTGAATGAATTACTATGTAATTATTTCGTCAGTGGGGCAGTTGGCACAGTATAAGGATCAATGATGGAGTTTAGTTACAAAAGCAGTTGATACCACTTAGTCACTATCATGATTGGTTAGTCAGAACCACTGGAATGGGTTTATGTAAATAATGGCCCTCGCAAAAAATTCTCAAAGATTTCCTACCTCGTCAGGGCTTTCAAGGTAATAGAGCAAACCAGCAGGCTGTGAAAATCGTATTCAAATTTATTACATAATGGTTTATGAACCAAAACTTACGAACAGGAAATCCCGCATTTAAACTTTATTGTATATTTTAGACATTAAAAACTATAACTGCTTTAATACGAACATTATTCTCACAAGTAATGCCATTGCTCTTGGATGACCAGTTGTCCAGAGAGCCACTAGATGTCCACTCAATTGCCTATATGCCAACAATAAAGATTATAAATTACTTATGGAGTATGCTTGTTAGTCTCAATTGAACTATTTACAGATGGCTAGTATACAGAGGATTATAAAATCACAAGTTTTAAGATGAATCTAAGAATGTTGCTAAAATACAACTCAGGTCCTCCGGATGGAATCGAGGCTATACATCTGCAACAATTTGTTAATTTATCACACTAATTCGCACCTGTTCAGTAGCGAACGTCTATCAGTGCTTTGCGTAATCATGGCCATGCGTAAGCGTTTTGGTAGAGCGCCCTTGGCAAGCGCCAAATCTTGTATTTTTGCCGCGGTTTCTTCATCAGCTTCCTAAAGTGAAGTTCTAAATAAATATCAACAGATGATTTTAGGCACTTCACACGGTGCAGGAATATTCTAGAGGTTTTAAAGGGTCTTAATTTCGTGTGGTATTATACACACTTCAAATTCAAGCCAGGAACAGTTGATGGAAAAATTAGTCAACTATACGTTCTCAGTGACAAGAGCATTGCACCGGCATCGCAAAAGCGATTCCTGCCGGAGGATCTATAGTTGACTCATTTTTCCATCAACTGTTCCTGGCTTGAATTGAAGTGTGTATAATACTTCTCAAAATTAAGACGCTTTAAAACCTCTTAAATATCGACTGTTGTGAAAAGACAGTAGTTTGAATATTTGCAAATCCTGATAGATAAATGTCGTGGACTCACACATTTGTTATCGGCGTCTCCCCGTCATTTTGTTCCAACAAGACTCTCAAATAATAGTCGCCTGATAGGAGAGATACGTTACTGAGTTTGATTGCGATCGAGGGATAGGGGGGGGCGCTTTAAGAAGAACTGTTAAAAAGCTAGAGCAGTATAAGGCTTATCACTAACCTATTTTCAGTTGATCAGCTAAACATTCATGCAGGACTTCAAACTAAAGGTGATTCCAAAAAACAACGTAGTTTCCACTCAGGTCTTTTTCCATTGCAAATTTGCGCATCTCAGATTCGAGAGCCCCAGAAGTTCCTCTCGCGTCTGTCACATTGAAAACAAAAGAAATTTTTTCATACTCTTTTACGACAACAGTTTAGAGAAAGAGGTCAGGACTATTGAATTGTCTTGTTATACTCATAGCGACAGGAAATTCTCCATTACCTTTTCATTTCCTATATTTTCAATGGAAACTAACTTTAACTTCGAGACTCACCTTGTAATTCCAAATCAGGTTGTACGCTGTCAGATCTTGACTGAATCTGTAAAAAAGATCCGTTTAAATACCATTGTTTTTCATCTTTCAAACGACTAGAACATTTCCCATTTTCTTAATATGAACACTTACTTGTAATAAGACAACTGGATTTAAATTCTCACATCTTTCCTGGCTTTGAATCCTATTTTTGTCCTCCAATGCGAGAGATATCCTTCAAGTTGATTCCTTGACGTTCCTCTCGCTTTTCCTGAGCTGTAACAGACAAGTATAGCGCGTGAAATAACATGCTTATACGTACATACAAGCATGCATCATGAAATTTTGGAACACGATTGTTGCTTTAAAACGTACTCTGCAAGCTTTACATTGTCACGAATTGATAAATGATCTTCTTTAGTCTCCGGTAGCTGAAGGAAAGATAAAAACTTTCCAACAAAATTGCTTCTTTACAAAAAGGTTTTACACTTCTGAATGAATTACTATGTAATTATTTCGTCAGTGGGGCAGTTGGCACAGTATAAGGATGAATGATGGAGTTTAGTTTACCAAAGCAGTTGATACCACTTAGTCACTATCATGATTGGTTAGTCAGAACCACTGCAATGGGTTTATGTAAATAATGGCCCTCGCAAAAAATTCTCAAAGATTTCCTACCTCGTCAGGGCTTTCAAGGTAATAGAGCAAACCAGCAGGCTGTGAAAATCGTATTCAAATTTATTACATAATGGTTTATGAACCAAAACTTACGAACAGGAAATCCCGCATTTAAACTTTATTGTATATTTTAGACATTAAAAACTATAACTGCTTTAATACGAACATTATTCTCACAAGTAATGCCATTGCTCTTGGATGACCAGTTGTCCAGAGAGCCACTAGATGTCCACTCAATTGCCTATATGCCAACAATAAAGATTATAAATTACTTATGGAGTATGCTTGTTAGTCTCAATTGAACTATTTACAGATGGCTAGTATATAGAGGATTATAAAATCACAAGTTTTAAGATGAATCTAAGAATGTTGCTAAAATACAACTCAGGTCCTCCGGATGGAATCGAGGCTATACATCTGCAACAATTTGTTAATTTATCACACTAATTCGCACCTGTTCAGTAGCGAACGTCTATCAGTGCTTTGCGTAATCATGGCCATGCGTAAGCGTTTTGGTAGAGCGCCCTTGGCAAGCGCCAAATCTTGTATTTTTGCCGCGGTTTCTTCATCAGCTTCCTAAAGTGAAGTTCTAAATAAATATCAACAGATGATTTTAGGCACTTCACACGGTGCAGGAATATTCTAGAGGTTTTAAAGGGTCTTAATTTCGTGTGGTATTATACACACTTCAAATTCAAGCCAGGAACAGTTGATGGAAAAATTAGTCAACTATACGTTCTCAGTGACAAGAGCATTGCACCGGCATCGCAAAAGCGATTCCTGCCGGAGGATCTATAGTTGACTCATTTTTCCATCAACTGTTCCTGGCTTGAATTGAAGTGTGTATAATACTTCTCAAAATTAAGACGCTTTAAAACCTCTTAAATATCGACTGTTGTGAAAAGACAGTAGTTTGAATATTTGCAAATCCTGATAGATAAATGTCGTGGACTCACACATTTGTTATCGGCGTCTCCCCGTCATTTTGTTCCAACAAGACTCTCAAATAATAGTCGCCTGATAGGAGAGATACGTTACTGAGTTTGATTGCGATCGAGGGATGGGGGGGCGCTTTAAGAAGAACTGTTAAAAAGCTAGAGCAGTATAAGGCTTATCACTAACCTATTTTCAGTTGATCAGCTAAACATTCATGCAGGACTTCAAACTAAAGGTGATTCCAAAAAACAACGTAGTTTCCACTCAGGTCTTTTTCCATTGCAAATTTGCGCATCTCAGATTCGAGAGCCCCAGAAGTTCCTCTCGCGTCTGTCACATTGAAAACAAAAGAAATTTTTTCATACTCTTTTACGACAACAGTTTAGAGAAAGAGGTCAGGACTATTGAATTGTCTTGTTATACTCATAGCGACAGGAAATTCTCCATTACCTTTTCATTTCCTATATTTTCAATGGAAACTAACTTTAACTTCGAGACTCACCTTGTAATTCCAAATCAGGTTGTACGCTGTCAGATCTTGACTGAATCTGTAAAAAAGATCCGTTTAAATACCATTGTTTTTCATCTTTCAAACGACTAGAACATTTCCCATTTTCTTAATATGAACACTTACTTGTAAAAACAACTGGATTTAAATTCTCACATCTTTCCTGGCTTTGAATCCTATTTTTGTCCTCCAATGCGAGAGATATCCTTCAAGTTGATTCCTTGACGTTCCTCTCGCTTTTCCTGAGCTGTAACAGACAAGTATAGCGCGTGAAATAACATGCTTATACGTACATACAAGCATGATGAAATTTTGGAACACGATTGTTGCTTTAAAACGTACTCTGCAAGCTTTACATTGTCACGAATTGATAAATGATCTTCTTTAGTCTCCGTGGCTGAAGGAAAGATAAAAACTTTCCAACAAAATTGCTTCTTTACAAAAAGGTTTTACACTTCTGAATGAATTACTATGTAATTATTTCGTCAGTGGGGCAGTTGGCACAGTATAAGGATGAATGATGGAGTTTAGTTTACCAAAGCAGTTGATACCACTTAGTCACTATCATGATTGGTTAGTCAGAACCACTGCAATGGGTTTATGTAAATAATGGCCCTCGCAAAAAATTCTCAAAGATTTCTACCTCGTCAGGGCTTTCAAGGTAATAGAGCAAACCAGCAGGCTGTGAAAATCGTATTCAAATTTATTACATAATGGTTTATGAACCAAAACTTACGAACAGGAAATCCCGCATTTAAACTTTATTGTATATTTTAGACATTAAAAACTATAACTGCTTTAATACGAACATTATTCTCACAAGTAATGCCATTGCTCTGGATGACCAGTTGTCCAGAGAGCCACTAGATGTCCACTCAATTGCCTATATGCAACAATAAAGATTATAAATTACTTATGGAGTATGCTTGTTAGTCTCAATTGAACTATTTACAGATGGCTAGTATATAGAGGATTATAAAATCACAAGTTTTAAGATGAATCTAAGAATGTTGCTAAAATACAACTCAGGTCCTCCGGATGGAATCGAGGCTATACATCTGCAACAATTTGTTAATTTATCACACTAATTCGCACCTGTTCAGTAGCGAACGTCTATCAGTGCTTTGCGTAATCATGGCCATGCGTAAGCGTTTTGGTAGAGCGCCCTTGGCAAGCGCCAAATCTTGTATTTTTGCCGCGGTTTCTTCATCAGCTTCCTAAAGTGAAGTTCTAAATAAATATCAACAGATGATTTTAGGCACTTCACACGGTGCAGGAATATTCTAGAGGTTTTAAAGGGTCTTAATTTCGTGTGGTATTATACACACTTCAAATTCAAGCCAGGAACAGTTGATGGAAAAATTAGTCAACTATACGTTCTCAGTGACAAGAGCATTGCACCGGCATCGCAAAAGCGATTCCTGCCGGAGGATCTATAGTTGACTCATTTTTCCATCAACTGTTCCTGGCTTGAATTGAAGTGTGTATAATACTTCTCAAAATTAAGACGCTTTAAAACCTCTTAAATATCGACTGTTGTGAAAAGACAGTAGTTTGAATATTTGCAAATCCTGATAGATAAATGTCGTGGACTCACACATTTGTTATCGGCGTCTCCCCGTCGTTTTGTTCCAACAAGACTCTCAAATAATAGTCGCCTGATAGGAGAGATACGTTACTGAGTTTGATTGCGATCGAGGGATAGGGGGGCGCTTTAAGAAGAACTGTTAAAAAGCTAGAGCAGTATAAGGCTTATCACTAACCTATTTTCAGTTGATCAGCTAAACATTCATGCAGGACTTCAAACTAAAGGTGATTCCAAAAAACAACGTAGTTTCCACTCAGGTCTTTTTCCATTGCAAATTTGCGCATCTCAGATTCGAGAGCCCCAGAAGTTCCTCTCGCGTCTGTCACATTGAAAACAAAAGAAATTTTTTCATACTCTTTTACGACAACAGTTTAGAGAAAGAGGTCAGGACTATTGAATTGTCTTGTTATACTCATAGCGACAGGAAATTCTCCATTACCTTTTCATTTCCTATATTTTCAATGGAAACTAACTTTAACTTCGAGACTCACCTTGTAATTCCAAATCAGGTTGTACGCTGTCAGATCTTGACTGAATCTGTAAAAAAGATCCGTTTAAATACCATTGCTTTTTCATCTTTCAAACGACTAGAACATTTCCCATTTTCTTAATATGAACACTTACTTGTAATAAAACAACTGGATTTAAATTCTCACATCTTTCCTGGCTTTGAATCCTATTTTTGTCCTCCAATGCGAGAGATATCCTTCAAGTTGATTCCTTGACGTTCCTCTCGCTTTTCCTGAGCTGTAACAGACAAGTATAGCGCGTGAAATAACAGGCTTATACGTACATACAAGCATGCATCATGAAATTTTGGAACACGATTGTTGCTTTAAAACGTACTCTGC